AGTACTGGATTGTACACTACCAGAAATGCTTAAGTTAAACTCTGCGGACCCGGATACGGGTCCAAAAATAGACAATTTCACTCGCTTCAGATATAATGTAATAACTCCTGTTTAGAAGCTGTTACTTGAAAGATTATTTTTTCTGGTACTTTTTGGCATCTAGTGGCATCAAACAAAGTAAATTGCAGAGAGCTGGGCCTAATAGAACCTGAATTACAGAATTTCAAAAAAATAATTTGTTTTAAAACTCCAAAAGCGCCTATGTTTTTTTTGTTTATTGTAATATTTGAAAAATATATAATGTTATTTATAAAGAATTACACTCATATTTTGTAGTTCAAAGGGTTTTCTTTACAATTAAACCATTTTTTTTCATTTCCTCCATTGTATATGTGTAGGGTAAACATTTGAATTTGAGTATGTCAAATTTAGGCGAAAATACCAAAAAACGCCCTGAGCTTAAGTGGTTTTAAAGGAAAGACATGCAGTGATGTTGTACTTCCTTTGTTGTTCTTAAACAGGACTGAATGCTGTTACAGGACTAAATACAGGACCATTAAGATCATAAGAAACACAAATTCAGTCAAATGTTTTCAGTTTACTTTTATTATTACCCTAGTTTAAGTCAGTATAGCATCAGAAACTGATGGAAAAACACAGTTGCTTTCACTGAAACGTGATTCCATTCTCCTTCTTCCTATTAACACCACCAGAAGCAGAGTTCAGTGCTGCATTTCCAGCAGCTACTACTCCTGCTATTACAGCTTCAGATAGCGCCGCTCCTTGCAAAGCAGAGGCCAGAGCCGCAGATCCTGCAACTGCTGCTCCTGAGATAAAAGCTGAACTAAGTGCCCCTCCACTAACTACAACTGCTGCTCCTGCACCCACTACCACACCTGTTCCCATTAAGACTGCATCTTTAGCTTTATTCAGCAGCCTACTTCTTTCCTCTTCTTCTCTCCTCCTCTTCTCTTCTTCCTCTATTTTCCTCTGAGCTTCCTTGTACATCTCATTTGTGTAATGCTCTCCTCCGTTCTCCATCACCATTCTGTCTATCTTCTCCAGCAGTTCAGTGACCTGTGATTGATTTTCTTCAGCTGTGTTAATAAAAACATGATAACCTCCTTTACATTGTTCAACTAGCTCTCTAATCTGCTTGTTTTTGCTCAGAAACTCCTCTATGGATGTTTTTAACTGATCTCCTCTTGTGAACAGGATGATGGTGTAACGTGCAGCATCTTCTCCAAAGTTCTCCTGAATCCATCTCACTGTGTTTTTCTCCTCATCTGTGAATCTCACGTCCAGTCTGGTGACCAGCAGAAACACATGAGGACCAGGAATAGACATTTCTACACATCTCAATAGTTCATTCTTCAGCTGTTCTTCACTGATTGACGTATCAAACAGTCCTGGAGTGTCGATCACTGAGATGATTCGACCTTCTACTGTCTGCTGATGTTGTTGGCATTTCTCAGTCACAGATTCAGAACATAATTCTTCTTTAAATGCTTTTCGTCCCAGGATGGTGTTTCCTGTTGCGCTCTTTCCAGCTCCAGTTTTCCCCACCATCACGATCCTGAGATCTGTGCACTCGCCAGGTTTTATGTGGCTGCTCTGTATGGACTCTGTATGAGACAAGTAACAATACAATTTCATTTAATTTTCAAGAAATATATCATGATGTTTCGAAAAAGCAATAAATTGCAGGTTCTCACCTGCTTGGGTTAGATGTTTTTCTGTCTCTGTCTGTTGCTCCTTCTGGTCCCATTTTCTTTTTCTGCTCATTTTCCAGCTTTATGATTGTGTTGCCTCTTCTTCTTCTTCATTCTTGTTTTCTTGTGAAACTCTAGAGCATCTGTCATCATATAATTGAGTTCTCACATGCAAAATAAAATCTTTATTTTCAGTAACAACATTTCTTGTGCTCTTTTCCTTTACACTGTGCGCGTGAATCGGCTCGTTTTCTTTTCTGCGTCTTATTGGATATCTTAAGAAATTGTGAATGTCATAATGCTGGCCATCATTCCATTTGATGATTTCATCGATCTTCTCTAGAAGTTTTGTGATGTGAGTTGGAATAATGTCGTTTTTACTGTTGATTGCATGATATTTACCTCTGCAGTGACTGACAAGGTTCTGAAACTTTCTGCTTTTCATTAAGAGATTCCATTGTCTAGTCGCCATTTTTTCTCTTCCAATAAACAGCACCACGGTGAACTTTAAAGCTTGAGCTCTAAAGTTCTCCTGAATTTGCTCCACAATGTTCCTCTGCTCCTCTCTGAAGGTGTCCAGGTTGATGAGGAGCAGGAACACGTGAGGACCAGGATAACAGAGGAACATACTCCTCATCATTTCACTCTGCAGCTCTTCATCAGTCAGCTGAGTGTTGAAGAATCCTGGAGTGTCGACAATGGAGATGTTTCTGTCTTCTACTCTTCCTCTCTGTTTCTCACTCTCTCTGGTTCTGCTCTCTTTAAACACCTCTCGACCCAGTATCGCGTTTGCTGTTGAACTCTTTCCAGCTTCGGAGACTCCCAGCAGCACGATCCTCAGATCCTGTGAATCACCTGTGAAACAGTTCATGTCATTAGCTGGAGCTCTGGATGATTTACAAATGCTTCTGTGATTCTAAACACGCCTTCTTTTCATCCTCAGGTATTTCTGCTATTTCATTTTAAATGTCTCAGTACGATTGGTAAAAATCATTTAGTTCAGTTGGAAAATGCATGTTACAATTCTAAACGTATAGAGTCTGTTCTGCTCCATACAGCCAGGGTTCCCAGGTCTGCGTGACAAAGCTAGCCCAAAGTAGTGCAATGACCATATCCTAAATGTCAAAACTCAAAATATGCCAGTTCCATAACTATAATACACATCCTTATGAAAAGTGCCATGGTTTTACTACAAATAAAACCAAAACGTGATTGTCATGGTTTAACCATCACTCTAAAAATGCTGGGTTAAAAACAACCCAGCGCTGGGTGAAATATGGACTGACCCACGTCTTCGGTTAAATGTTTAAACCCAGCCCTCTGGGTAGTTTTATTCAACTCAACTATTGCTTAAAAATTACTATATTTCTTACTTTAAATAAACTCAAAATAGGTTGGAAATGAACATTTATTAATATGTTCAATAAATGAAAATGTATTAATAAGTTGGATAAATAATAATTAAATAATAAACGTTTTTAATTGCTTATTAACAAATTTTAAACGTTGCTGATGGCTCTAGTAATTATGTGTCTGATTTTTTATTTAAAACCTATTTTGGGTTAATTTTAAGCCAGCCATATGGTAATTTTTAAACAATACATGAGCTGAATAAAACTACCCAGAAAGTTGGATTAAACAATTAACCCAACCGCTGGGTTTATCCATATTTTACCGAGCGCTGGGTTGTTTTTAACCCAGAATTTTTTAGAGTGTGGTAACCACAAATTAACCATATGGTTTGGCTACACTAACCATAGTTTAACTATGTTATTTGCAGTAAAGCGGTGGTTATAAAAATGGTGTGCAATAAAACAAACACTTTTACTATAATAGAACCATAGCTAATTTCCATAAGGGATTTAACAGTCACTGTTATGTTTAATATTAGCCCAATTCCATGAAAGAAAAAAATAAACAAATAAATGCAGACTTGGTAACCCTGCATCCAACACCAGCTGGCTTCTGCAGGAGTCAGATTTCACTGACACAGGTGGAGTGTAGGAGAGATGACTGACAAGACCATGGTGGAGGATTTGCTGCTCAACAGATCCTGAACTTATTGACAAATATCTTGTAAAAATGTGTTCCCTTGCACAGCATGTGCGATCGCAAAATTGAAAGTGAAAGTGAACAGCAAGCACTCATTCAAAAGTGATTTCAATACCCAGCATACTGATAGCGGCACCCAGATGCACGAAAATCATATATAATATATAGAATATTTGCAGTGCGGGCGGAAGTGGAACGCGCAAGTTGCATGGTCAAAAATGTATTTAGAAAACAGTCCCGTGCAGGACTGTCAACCACCAGAAACAAAAAGCACAGTATTAATTTCTCGGTATGGTATTAAACTAGCTGTATTGTGTGAGGATCACATTAGGCTATTTCATTTAGACTTACCTTCTGGGCCTATGTGTTGCTGACATTGTGTTCATGCAGTTTGTTTTAGTCGTTTAAACTCTCTCTCACTGTCTTTGTCTGTGTGAACCTGACACAGGAAGTGTTTGTGACCACTTCCTCATGGTTTAAAAAATGCATCACACACACCCTGTTATTTCAGTTTCATAGTGAACTGAGCGGTAAATGTTTATCTTACAGCTCAACAGACTGTGTGTGTGTGTGTGTGTGTGTGTGTGTGTGTGTGTGCGTGCGCATATCAGTCATCATTTAGAGATAAAGTGGACTAAATACAGTTTTATTTTCATCTGAGAGCCAATTAAACAAGCACAGCAGCACTGTAAGAAAACGAGGCAGGGTTGGCAAATCAAAATGCCAGCAACAAACCGATTCAAATTGTCTGGGTTACAAGTGAATAGTGACAAGTTGGCGGGAAACTAATTAGCATTGATAATCAGAATAATGGCAAGTATGTGAATGTGACTGAAGAGGGTCACGTAAACACCTTTTACGGTTAGTTCTTACAATGATAATAGTCTTGAATTTGCTGAATGGTCTCTTATGACTCCATGCTGCCACCTACTGCTTTGGTGTGAACAGAAATAAAGCATATTTGTGTCTATTAGTTGCAATGTGGCTTTCTAATGAATGTACAGTATAGTGTATGTGTTTGTGGTGGTGTGCTTGCATGTGTTCGCATGACTGTGGCTCTCTCTCTCTCTCTCTCTCTCTCTCTCTCTGTGTGTGTGCGTTTGCATAAGTGCGTGCTGTATTTATGCTGTGTGTGGACATTATTATGAGATGATATTGTCTGTCGCTCAGATGCTGATTTACTCCCACATGCAAGAACAAAGAGAGTGTTTCTACAAACACAGATGAGAGTCCAACAACAGCACAACACACACAGACGCTCCTCAGACACTGTAAGTACTGAAGAAACTTCATCTTGCAAAATAATTTCTTTGAATTATACCTCTGAATTGTTTTTGTAATTATGTTGCTGTCAGTTTTAGTAAGGTCAGGTTTAGTGAGTTCAATAAGAATTCTGTTTTTTTTAAAGTGAAGAGATTTTGGTAACATTTCATAAAAAGGTTTCATTTGTTAATATTAGTCAGTAAAACAATTAAAAATGCTTCTAAAGCATGCATTAATCTTAGTTAATGGAAATATCATTATTTACTAGTACATTATTCAAATCAAAATTTATATCTGGTAATATTATTTAATAACATGTAACATGAATTAACAATGAACATTTTATTAACTAACATTAATAAAGATTAATAAACATTGTAATAAATGTATCACTGTTAGTTAATACATTAGCTAGTGTTAACTAATGAAACCTTTAGTGTTACTGATCAATAGTAGTTTCTCTACTTAAAGAGTTTCTTACTTAACCGTCATAGTGAAATTCATAATTTTCAAATGATGTTATGATATGATGCTTGTAATTAATAGAAATAATCACTTTTAAGTTATTAAAAGAAATTATGAATGCATAATTTTGATTCTATTTGTGACCCTGGACCACAAAACCAGTCATAAGGGTCTTTTTTTTATTATTAATGTATTGATTTGTTAGGATATGACAATATTTGGCCAGGATACAACTATTTAAAAATTTGGAATCTGAGGGTACAAAAACAAAACAAAAAAACAATCAAAATATTGAGAAAATTGCCTTTAAAGTTATCTTCATGGAGCATGATCTTTACTTAATATCCTAATGATTTTTGGAATACAAGAAAAATCGATCATTTTGACCCATACAATGTGTTGTTGGTTATTGCTACAAATATACCCGTGTGACTTACTGTTATGTGGCTGACGAGATGTGAGACATGTGGATCCAAGTGCGAAGCTTTATTAACAGACATGGTTAGAGACAGGCAAGGGTCAGACAGTGGCAAAAGGTATATAAGGGCAAGACAAGAATATTCCTAGGGCTAGCGTGGGTCTACGATCGGCGAACAGAATCAACAGGGCGAGACTAGAGGGATAAATCCAGGTACAAGGTAAAGGTCCAGGCAGGGGCAAACAGTATCCGAATAGGGCAAGACGAGAGGGGGAATCCGAGATACACAGGCAAAGATCAGGACACGAGAAAACAGACAAGGCAAGACTAAGATAAGGCTGTGAAAAACTAGACAGGCTCCATAGAGTACCTATCGCTATGAGAGTGATAAACGCTATACAATACTCAGCAGTTTGAAAGGGATCAGAGTGAGTGTTATATAGTGAATGTGTGATTGGTTACAGCTGTGTGCAATCAGTGCTGTGTGCAATCA